CTCTATAGCAAAACACAGAAAAGGCTTTAAATATTTATATGTGGATGTTAAAACTATTTATTCATAATTTTATTTTACTTAGATGCTAACACTTCTAAATTGATGGTGAAAGAGAAAGAGAAGGAGGGAACAAAAGGCAAGCCTAACAAAGAGTTTCAAAATCTCTTATAAGATTGTAAACATATTTATACATCATTGAATCGAACAGCTTAAATATATTCTAAAATGAAAGAGGAAAAGAGAGAGGGAAGGAGAAGCACTATCCATAGGTTTGCACACTGTGATGTCCCCCAGAAGTTCCCTGCCGGCCAGGATCATAGGTAGGCAAGTGCACTCAGGATTTATGAATCAACCTGGAAACTGAACTCATCTTCCTCATGGCTTTGATCTTCCACGGCTTCGCACTACCTCTGTGTTACATATTATTTAATTTTTACACAGTATTATTTCATTGATTTTGCCTAAAAAGCATTTCTGTGGACAGCCATATGGCATGGTGGTTAAGGTAGCTCTATCCCACATGGCGGACTGCAAAGTTTGAGTCCCAATCCTGGCTGCTTGAGAAACACTGGGCCCATGTGTGTGCATGCCTTAAATTCTGAGAGGAGAATGGAGGGGAAGGAATTGTGCCACTGCCATCTCTACTTACCTTTCTTCTCTCTCTGTCTCTATCTCTGTCTCTTTCCAGTAAGCACACACACGCTCTAGCAAATATAAAAAATAAATGAAAACTTTTTAAAAACCACCTTCAGTTACTAACCAGCCTCTAAAGTATCTTACATACCATAAGTATGAAATGGATACTTTTAGCGAATAGTCTAACTATATAAAATAATTCAATCAATTAACAAGTTTACGCATTTAGAAGTCCCACTCTATGGTGACAGAAGGTGGCATGGTGATGAAGGAGCTGGATTATGAACACTTTGGTGTATATTTTTCAGGTTTTTCACATGAATTTAAAATGTATGATTCCTGAGGGGAAAAACAGAGAAAGGAAAGAAAACCTTGCTATCAAATGTATTCATGAATGTATAAATGAAATGTATCTTTATAATTTTGCTCTTCTCTCAACTATGCATCACAGTAAATGTTTCAGCTAAGTGTGTATATTAAATGTTTTATAGTAAAAGAAAAGTTTATCATTCATATTTTTAGAATGTATTTAAGCTATATGACTCAATGCATAAATATGTTAATATCTTATCATTATAAACATTTATTTTGTAAATATATTGAGTTGCACTGAAGCAAAAGTATTTCTGAAACATAACCAGTTAGGAGTGTAATCCTTGTATCAGGGAATGTATATTTGAAAGTGCTATTTTCTGCTCGCTCTCACTTGTTTAACAAGTATTGTGTGTGTGTGTTGATGACTAATCTCATGGGTGTGTGTGTGTGTGTGTGTGTTAGCAGTTCTGAGCCTGTTTTGAGCACTTGAAGTTATTAGTGGACAAAGTAAGGAAGATACTTACCATTGAAAAGCATATTTTTTAAGCAGATGAATTAAATTTTGCTTATCTTATGAAAAAGGAGCCCAATATTATTTTTGTAAATTTACTATCCTAATATCCTGGCATTGTTTATTGGAAAATGTTTTTTTTTTCTTCCCTGCAATCTGCAAACCATCTTATTCATTTATTAAGTGTCTGTTTCTATATTCTATACTCTTTTTCACTGATCTCTGTATCTACCCTTGAAGCAATACTCTACACTCTTAAACATTATACTTTATGGAAGGTTTTGAGCAAATCCTATGTCAATGTTATTAAAATAACTTTTATATTGAGAATATCTGTTTAAATATTATTGCTTTCCAACATAGCTGTTAAGCTGTTCCCAATATATCAACTTACAAAAGTACTTTACTTGCTCTCTGTATCATAGTTCAGTTTCATTTTTTTCATAATGCTCATCAAATTATCTTTTCTAAATGTCAATTCACTAGTTTGAAATCATATTTAATTCACCCAAATGTAAACTCTAGAGGATAAGGACCTTGGTGAAATATGGTTAATGTGTAACTTGTACCTACCTCTAGAAAAGAAGCCTAACACATAGGAGATAATAATAATTTTTGAAGGCATAAATAAACGCATTAATTATAAAATACAGTGCATGACTTCTAGACATACATTTTATTTTTGTGTGTTTTAACAAAACTTTATCTTCTCAAGAAGTGACAGCCATTACTACTGTTACTAACACCAACAATGACAATTATAGTTTTTAAAAGAATTATTTACTGGGACCAGCAGTTGGAGTAATAGCTATGCTGCTGAACTCCCATGTAGCTGCTTACGGTTCAAGTCCTGGACCTGGTGGCTTGAACTCATGCCGGGTGCATGGGCGTGCGTGCCCAGGATCCCAAGAGGAGAATGGAGGAGAGGGGATTGTGGCATGGCCATCCCCCCTGGAGAGTGATTTCTCGCTTTCTATCTCTGTCTCTCTCTGTCTTTTTGGCGAGCAATGCACCCTATAGAAAAAACCTCTCAAAAAAAAAAAAAAAGAAGAATTATTTATTATTATTATTATTTTGACCAGAGACAGACGGAGAGAAGGATAATAAGAAAAAAGCTGCCAGTTCCAGGCGTCGAACCATGCCCAGCCATGTAGGAATCTGTTAGGAACGGTAGAAATGCCATGCTTCTAGAACACTTTGGATTTATAAATGTGAATGAACAATTGCAGGGGAAATGTCTGACCTCTTGCCTTCCTACTCTGAAATGACAAGAGGTCCATTAGCTTGAATGTGGGCTTAGGGAAAAGGGTGTTAATGACTAATCTCATGCCTTCTCCTAAAAAGCTACAGGAGGCCATTAGATGGTGTGAGATCTGATAAAGGTGTTTTCCAAATTCCAAAGTATTGATGTCCATCCTCTGGCATCATTAAACCACACCCCCTTTCTCGATATTGAAATCGACTATGCTCCAGGAATTATCCCTATCTTTCTAATTCTCTATGCAGCACCTTTCTCTAAAAATAACTTTCCTTCCTCTCTAATCCTTCCTAAAGACTAGAGAGGCTTAGCAGGTGCATCCCTGACATGGCCCCTCCCTCTCCCTCTTGACTCAGATCTCTGTGTCTTAAGAAGTCCTTCTGTACATACTTCAGGTGACTCTCTGCCAGACAGAAGAGTCAAGGGAATCCAGTGCCTTAACCACCATACCACCTGCTGACTTCAAATGCAGTGGTTTTAAAATAAAAAATAAAATAAAATAAGTAAAAAATAAATCACTGACCTCAAGAAACATATCATGTATATCAGCATATCCAATTATTATTATCACAACTTTATAAAGCATGTTTTGTTATCTCTTTGTTGTGAAATAATATAGGGATGGCGGAAGTCCATAAACCTTAAATACACAGCTTCATAGATACTTATAAGGAGTTTATTCTAGACATGAAACCTTACTTGTATACTTAAAGTCTCTCAAATGATTATCAATTGTCAAATACTCAACGTTGGTTCTATGGGCAAGCAGTATTTTGACTTCAATTATTATTTGCATTTTTTTTACATTCTATTGTATAATGAAACTACATATGTACCCCTAAGTAATACCGTTTGATTTTGACCTGTACTTTGAAATTTACATAGCTTGAGTGATAGGCATTATGCTCAGTTTACTTTTGCCATTATGTTTGTGAGAGCAAATCATGGTGTTCCAACATGATTCTATTTTACTTTCCATAACTCTACAGTACACATTACAGAATATATGACAGGACTTCAATAAGTTCATGGCAAAATTGAATTACAGTACGAGATGACTTGTCCAAGTGGTGCAGTCTCTAGTGTATAGGAATGCAGTACTGGAAACCACATTGCCAACTATGGGTTCAGGTCCTCAGGTTGCCCTGAAGATACATGGGTCATGTAGGATCCTGAGAAGCTGGAGGACTGAGGAAAGGGTATCATGGTGTGATAAGCCCTGTTGAGGGTGACTCTTTCTTTCATGTACCTGCATACACTCATTACCTTAAAATTAATAAATGGATAAATAAAGGATGAATTTATTTTGGTATAGAAAATTTTGTACCCATACATAGCTTTTTCATAATATCCATTTTCCATAAACTTTTTGAAGAACTATCCCTTTCCCTCCATATCTCAATGTATTAATCCATTTCCTAGTTGAGGGCCACCTGGTTGGTTTCCAACTTGTGACTTAATGTAAAAGGCCTCTATAACCTTTCTTATGCATGACTCCTCCTGTTTATACACATGAGTTTCTCTAGGACTTATATTGGGTCTTTGGGAAAGTCATGACTGAGTTTTGCACAGAAAAATACATCTTGGTTTTCCCAACAACCTAGTATTTACTCAAAGTGCAGGGAGACATTTAGACTTTTCTAGATTATGCCAACTTATTTTCCACATCAGTCATAGCATTTGCATTCATAGGGTATAAAATTTGTCTTTGATCCACAGTATCACCAATATTTAATATTAACTAATTTTCACCTTTCTTTCATTCTGAAGCAAATCCTAAGGATTCTCTTTATATATGTATGTATATATATATATACATATATACATATACATATATATATATACACACACACACATATATATATACACATACACATATATGAATAAATTTAAAGAATTAGATTAATATGTATATATATTATATATTGTATACAATAATAATATATGTATATATATATATATACTAAAATGAAACTAGCAGATAGTGTAATGGTTATATCATCAGACTCCCATGTAGTAGATCCTGGTTCAAGTCCTGGACATGGTGGCACAAAACTCACTGCATGAGTGTGAGTGCCCAAGATCCTGAGGGGGTGATTCTTAGATTTCTGTCTCTTTATCTCTCCAGCAAACTTTTTGGCCTTATAGCAAAAAATATCTCTAAAACATACACTGAAATTGAGGCTACCAGGTGGTGGAGCAGTTAAGGTACTGAATTTCCACATGATGAACCACTGCTTGTGTTCTGGTCTTGGTGGCTTGAAAATCACACTTGGTAATGTGCTCAGTCTGTAGCACATACACTAAAATTGGAAAGATTATAGAGAAAATTATCATATCCATGGCCCTTGTGTGAGGAGGACACACAAATCTGTGATTTCTCACTTTTCCTCTCACTGTCGCTGTCTTTCTCTGATCAGTGCACATGCCCTACGGTAAAAATTTTAAAAACAAAAAAAGAGTAAAATGCTAATTTTAATACTAAAATTAACATAATGCATTTAATGACTTGATATGGTTATCAATAAGCTCATATACATTTGATATGTTTAAAAATATCCTACTGAAATAAAACAGTGTACAAACACCAGCTTTATGTTCTGTTTTGCCTACCATGACCCAGGATAATTTTAACATTTTTCCCTTCTGATCTCTTCTAATCTTGTAAATATGTTGTACAAATAATCTCCCTTCTTAAAATCTAAAATTTGTATCTGGAAGTCTTGACCACCAGCATGATTCTGATGTGATGAACATTAGTAATGTTCATCAGTATCTACATCTTCTCCTCTTCTAGTCATGAGAACACTGATTTTCTCCACACTTGCATTCAGGCAGGGAACTGCACCCATTTCTGCACAGCCACATTAGAAGTGATGAATGTAAGTTAAGGACCACATTAATTAACTTTGCATAGAGAACTTCCCGGTCTCCCCTTACTTCCCATCATAGTGTAATTGGGAGCATCTTGATATTGTCCCGCTGGATAGACCAGTCACAGCCTAGATAAATGAACTGCTGTCTGGAGAATAGGTACCCTTCTGAGAACCAGTCAGAGCCACATCTGTATTAACATGTATAAAAGGAAAACAAAACTAAAGTAAACTAAAAGACTTTAAAAACATTCATTTTATTAAGTTCCATTTAACCAACTTTTGGCCAGCTCCCTTGTACAGCAGTAAAGTTCTGCTCAAGAGAAAGCAAATCTCATATGACAACTGAGGTAAGAATCCTCAGCTTTGTCAGCCTAAAAAGATCCCACAGGCTTGAGGACTGGAGGAGAGGGATGAGGGCGTGACTAGACCCTGTGGGAAGGTGCTCATTTCTCTTTTTCATTTACTCGGTCTCTTTCACTCTCACCTGTGCATATGTGCATTTTAGCTGAATGAAGAAAAAAAAATTAAACAATCTTAAAGTTTAGAATACTTCTAAAATATGTATAAAAATGATTTTCTTTCAATTTGAAATCTTTTTTGCCAGTTTTGTGTATGTAATTCAGATGACCTGGTACACAATATTTATTTTCATGTTTTATAATGATTTTCTTTCAATTTGAAATCTTTTTTGCCAGTTTTGTATATGTAATTCATATGCCCTGGTACACAATATTTATTTTCATGTTTTATCTTACACATATTTCTTTCAATAGTTTTCAATTACTAACTTTCTCTCAAAGAGCACTTTCAAATCATCTCTAATTGACAAAGTATTCATTTTTATAAAAGTTAGTGAAAAGCTAAAATGAAATTCGATAAACTATATACTTATTGTTGTTTGTGTCATAACTTTATAAGGTATGATTTCTCCTGCATAAGGGTAAATATGTGCACTCTTTGTTCTTTTGCTCATAAACATGTTTTTTTTCATATATGTATATGAATATAGGCATATTTGGCTTAGACTTAGTTAAAATTAGGTTTTTCTCAAAATAGTGAAAACTTGCTAGTATGTCTGTCCACTACTGGTAAGGTTATGCTTCTTACCTGATTATTAGTGGTGCTCCCAAAGATAAATAAATGGCTTCCTTGTCTAAAATATAATCAGATTTTGTTTCCTAAGTTGAAAATATTCTAGAAAGTACTAACAAGAGCAGAAATATATTGATTTAAAAAGGTTAAGAGTAGTTCCTTTATAAAACTGATTATGTAGTATCATGTACTCCTTTGGATATAATCAATTAGAATGAGGTTGCTATAACTATTAATTTAAAAAAAGTGAAGTTCACTCAAAACACTCAGACTTCCAATTAGAATATGAGTCAATGTCTTGAATATCTCTTTGTGTATTGAACTGGTTCAGGAACTTACACAAATTAATTTAACCATAGGGTGGTTCCAGACTTTTGGGTAAATCAGAAGGCTCTGGGGAACTGAAAGAATACATGGCCAGTGGATACGTTAGCTGAGAGTGAATGGTAGCCGAGGCATAGAGAAAGAAATCTTTATCACCTTCATCTTCTTTATTGCTTATAGGTGTCACTTAACTGGTTGAATCAAAAAAAATAAATAGTTGCTATCTGCATTGTGTTTTGTCTTGGTATTGATTATTCTTCAATGATATGAACCCAAATCATTGTTTTGAGGTATGATGCCTCAGAATTATATGCCTATAATTTAACCTACATTTGAAAATATAGGTAAAATGAGTCCAATTTAGTTTTTAAGTCAACATTCTACTAAAGTAATCACAAAGTTACGAATCAGCACTAACAGGTACTGTAGTGGATAAGGTGCTAGACTCCCACATGACTGACTGCAATTCATGTTCTGGACCCAGCAGCTTGAAACTCACACCAGGAACATGTGTGTGCATGCCAAAAATCCTGAGAGGAGAATGGAGAAGAAAAGACTGTGGCATGGCCATCCCCCTTGGGGGGTGATTTATCACTTTCTCTCTCTGTGTCTCTCTCTGTGTCTCCAAAGAGTGAATGGGTCCTATAGCAAAAAAAAAAAAAAACTCTCTTGTAAAACAAACAAAAACACTTATGACTCAATAAGGCACCATTTTAGAAATTCTGGAAATCAAGTGGTAATCCTGAAATTTTTCAAAGTAAAAGTACAAGATTTATTCAGCAACTTAATTTTTAATCAGAAAAATGTGGAAGAATATCAATGTCTATCTTTTGAAAAAGATGAGTATGACAAAAAAACGATGTGCTGAAATTTCAGGAAAGGATCCCTGGTATGTGCATGTGAAGTCATCAGCTGAGCGATATAACAAATCTGCATTTTTTAAAGTAAAGCAGCTAACTGAGAAAGATATTACTGCATTCAAATTTTGATAATCATTCTGTAATTAAAGTTCCAATGCATGGTCACATGAACACATCTCTACTTTAACCTATGATCCATTTTGGTAAACATCAAACTCTTATGTTCTCCATTAATGTCATTTGTGTTTCAAAATAAATTAGGTATTGTCACCAAGAGCATGTCAAATCAATGATAATATTAGTAAAAAAAAATTATAATGTGAAAGATAAGATCATTCTGTGCGTAAGGTCTGCTTGTTTGGCACAAGGTTCACTGTCCTAGGAAGTGAAGAAGTTTAAACACAATGTAGGTCATTTTCAATGTCAAGTCTGTTTTACTATTTAGCTCCCAAATTAAATTCTCTATTATAAACTTTTTGACTTTCTACTTCTAGACTTACTGACATGAGAGATTAGTCCTTAGGTTCAGTTCTGTTATTCTGTCCTTGAATGATGGTACTCTTTCTCATATATCCAGAATACGGATAACATGGCTTAGAAATGGTTGTTTCTAGAAGAGATCCAACCCTCTGTCTACAGTGGCACAACATATCTGAATGAACATGCTAATATGGTAATGCTATCTATGATAAACAGAACTAAAGAGCAAATTTTGTCTAATTACATAAGAGAAGGTATATTTAGGCTCCTCAGACACAAAAATGTACTCTTCCTTGAAATAATTTATTTTGCATGATATGCCAAATAAGTAGAAGTGCTTAGGGGAGTTAAGTTTACAGAGGATTTAGTATTTAAAACAAAAAGAAAGAAAGAAAGAAAGAAAGAAAGAAAGAAAGAAAGAAAGAAAGAAAGAAAGAAAGAAAGAAAGAAATGAAGGGTAGGAAAACAAAAGAAAGGGTTTTTGTTTGTTTGTTTGTTTAATGAAAACAACAGTTCATACATCAAGGAGTACCCAAATATGAACAGTCTAAAACCAGAGAAATGAGGGACCAGCAGTTGGCGTAATGGCTATGTCGCTGGAATCCCATGTAGTCGACCATAATTCAATACCCAGACATGGTGGCTTAAACTCATGCTGGGCACATGTGCGTGCATGCCCAAGATCCTGAGAAGAGAATGGAAAGAAGGATTGTGGCTTGGTCACCTCCCTTAAGGGGGTGATTTCTCACTTTCTATCTCTCTGTCTCTCTCTGCTTTCTGGCAAGCACACACACCCTATTGCAAAACCCTCCCCCACCCCCCAAAAAAGCAATATTTATAAGAGCTGTCATTAAAAAAAAATAAATAAACAGTGAAGTTTTACACATTGTGAAACTTCTCACTGTCAAAAATCTTCTATTGTTTGAGAGGCAAATGTATGTGCTAATAGGAGCATGGTATTAAAGAAAATAAAATATTTGCAATGGGGCATTTATATAAGACAATGCTATCAAAATTAAAATGGTAATTCCTTTTTAATTTTTTTAGTCTAAGTGTGTGTGTGTGTGTGTGTGTGTGTGTGTGCATGTGTGCTGTTTCTTAGACAGGGCCTTAGCCTCCCAAATAGCTGAGACCACAGACACATACAACTGCACCCAGGTTTTTAGGATAAGAAAAGAACCCAGGTTTCCCAAGTGTCCACAGACTATTTATTAATAGCAACATCATACTATAGGCTGAGCCCATAATGGTAATTATTTCAGATCACCAACTGGCTACTAACTGGTCACCTCCTATTCTTTATAATCCCCATATTTAAGTTTTACTATATTTATTAAGGTTAGATGTGCACCAGGATCTATATTTCTGCAGCTTGCAGTAGACAATAAACAAAAGCAAATGAAAGGACATAAAACTATGTACATAAGTCCTGGAACAACTTGACTCATATAAATATAATGAGATGGTCTGAATTAGTTTTAAAAATACTTAATTATACATAAGATTAAAACTGAATAAAACAAATGGGTCTGCTTTTATGCCTAAGGATGTTTATACACACCACAATAATCTTTGACTTCAAGGAAAGAAAATATTTTCCTCATTTTTATAAGTAAGATCATGCTATGACTTGTCAATGGAGCATACAGTAATATTATAGCATCCTTGCAACCAGGGAGTGGAGATGCACTAAAATTAAAAGCCTCCCTCTATAAGTCTAGTTAAATAAAGATAACATCATAACATGATTTGCTGAT